TATGCCATCTGCTCAATAGACCCTCGTTTAACTGTTAGACCAAGTGCAGAAGTCTCTAATTTAACGAATTCCCCGGTGATCCATTGCAGTTTGGTCCGTTCGAAAACATTCACGTGGTGTATGCATTGGCTACATTTTTGGGTATCGCATGTTTGTTGCCATATTTTATTGCGGTGCTGTGTTGCAGCAGTAAGCGCTCCATCACAGAGCTCATCGCTGCCTCTCAAATGGCTAAGGTAACCTGAGATTTATAAAATAATTTTTTTTTTTAATGTAAAAAATGAGATTTTTTTTTACTGTTTTGTGGATTTCTTCAAATAATGGATAGTAATTCTTGTCGCAAAACATCCTGCTCACTCTGGCATCTTGTATTTTCTTCGTTTTACTTCACAGGCTCAGGGAGAAGTCAGCTTTAGGCCACTGACCGATGCAGCGTTGTGATAACCGGGTTTTTTCTCAAAAGATTTTGATCGTTGAGATGCACGCATAAATCGGAGTACAGTGGTGCCGCATGAAGCTGGAAAACCGGTATTTTTATGCGTTTTGTGCTGTGTAACATTGTAGGGCTCAATATCGATAGTCTGGGCTATTTTAGCTGTTAGCGTAGCATCCATTAGCTTTGTTATGTGTACATCCATTCCTTAAAGTGTTTTAGCTTGAAGCAGTTCCCGAAGTCTCTGGTGATGGCGAGGGAAATGCTTCCCGGTGGCGCGCTTACTCCTGCATATTCTTGCTGTTAACGAGCGGTACGGAACTGATCATTGGAGAAGGCTTGACTCTTTACGCACTATTTACACCCGAGCTGTTTCTTTCACAACGAAACGGAGTCCTTCTGACTGCAACCTTCTGGCTTGGCATATGTGTGGTTCGATTGTCGTCGGTTTTAATGTAAGTGCCTGTAGGTATTTTTTCCCTTATTTAAACACCGGCGCACGTTTTTTTGAGTAGAATGGTAAGCAGGCGTATTGATTTGTCAACATCTAACCTTAATTGGTTTTGTGCAAAAATTGTCACAGATTGGCTTAATTTCTTCAAAAATATGATTGTTGCCAACTGGGGAAGAGAATTTATAATTTTTTAGTTCCTGACTCTTAAATTGTTTTGTATTAGGGGCTGTGGAAAAAGTCTGCTTCTTGTCGATGTGGATTTCAAGTTCGTTATTTAGGGAGCGGTTTTGAAAACATTTTTTATTTTTATGCGTTTTGTGCTGTGTAACAGCAGTACAAAACGCATATTGTTACGGGGTTGT